GAAGCAAAGCCCAAACCACACCCACTGCTGTGGAGTTGATTCTGACTCACAGCGCCCCTAGAGGACAGAGTGGAACTGCACCACAGGGTCTCCAAGGCTGTCAATTTTTAGAGAAGCAGACTGCCTCATCTTTCTACTGCAGAGCCTGCCAAACTTTTGGTTAGCAGCAAAATACTTTAACCACTTTGCCACCAAAAATAAAAACCAAAATCCACTGCTATGGAGTGGATTCCGACTCACAGCGCCCCTAGAGGACAGAATAGAACTGGCCCACAGGGATTCCAAGGATGTAAATACCTTTCTTCAAAGAGCAACTGGGTTCAAACATCTGATCTTTGGGTTAGCAGCAGACTGTGTTAACCACCACGCCACCAGTGCTCCTTTAAACCATAACAATGAATCGATCAGAAGAACCACGGGGCGTGATCTCGAGCCTCCAGAGTTTGGGCAGGATTTCCCTGACGGTCTCTCTCCCGCCCTCAGTATCTCCCCAGGAAACATTTGGACTCCACTGTGGGAAGAGCTGGCAGCCAACACACCGGACCCCAAGGCCACAGTCCTAGAGGGCACGTTGGCCCAGGTAGGACTGGGGAGCCGGATCCAGGCGGAGTTGGGGTGAGGCCGCCCGATGGGATTCTCTTAACCACCTTCTTTGTTGCCTCTCAGCCCCTGGGCCGCATGGGCCAGCCCTCTGAGGTGGGAGCAGCCGCCGTCTTCCTGGCCTCCGAGGCCAGCTTCTGCACAGGCATCGAGCTGTTTGTAACTGGGGGTGCAGAGCTGGGTTTTGGGCGCAAAGTCACCCCCGGGAGCCCCGTGGAGGTGCCCACACACCCTAACTGATCTCCCTATTCCCAACTTAAGACATTCCCTGCCTAGGACCCCACCCCCCCAGACCATCATACCCACTTCCATCATCACCGGCTTCCCAAACGCAGCCTCAGACCACCCCAGGTCCCCCTAGAAATTATCTGCAGAAGGAGGGCATCATTCCGTTTATTTTCTGGCCTCTATACGAATCCTCAACTCCCAAGATGCCGCCGTCAGCCCGGTGACTGTGTCTGGATCCTGAGGACTACAACTCCCGGCAGACCTCGCGGCAGGCTCCCAGGGAAAAGCGGGGCTGGCGCCAGATTCAGTGAGCTAATTAAAAGGCCCGCAGGGGAGAGTGAATTGAGCGCTAATTGGGAGATAATAGAGTAGCAGAAGCGAACCGTCCTTCTCTTTATTCTTGGCACTGAGGGAAAAGGAATTCTCAACTCTCTGCTGGGGGAGAGGGAGGGTGGCCAGCACGGAGGGATACAGAGAGGAAGAGACTCGGGGTTGAGACTCTTGGGTGTCAGGACCCGGACATTCTGGGTCTGAGAGAGGAGGGGCTGCGGGCCTGGTCTCTTGGAGCTAAGAGAGGTTGACCCGGGGCATTACTGTCCCTGGATCCCCGAGGTCGGGGAGCGGGTTCTAGTCCGGCTGAAGTACTACCGGTGCGGAGTGGAGTTGTAGGACTGCTGCGGATTGGCCGCGGCGGGGGTGTGTGCGGCAGTCGCGGATTGGTCCAAGCGGGGGCGGGATCTGGGCACCGCCCCCACAGTCCGGGGCCGGCTGGGGGCGGGAGAGGAGGACGGGGTGGGAGAATGGAAAACAGGGCGACACCCTGCGGGGGCGAGTTAGTGCTTTGGCTGCCTGGGGCCTGTGACCGGAGGAGTGGGGCAATTACCTGGGAAGAGGATGCCAGGATTTGTGTGCATGATGGGACCCGAATTTTGAGGCCACGTGTCCCAGGGTTGAATTTCAGAGGCAAGATTGCCTAGTGACCGTATTGTGAAAATATAGCAGGGGCAGATCTTGCTGTCACATTAGCCCGGGTGCAAAAGTTTGGGGAACGCTGACCACGAAGTCTGTGTGGCTATAGCAACCGAAGGCAAAGAAATAGGGATACTGACGCACGTTTGTAGGAGCCCTGTTGTCCCAGTGCTTAAGCGTTCCCTTGCTAATGAAAAGGTCGGTGGTTCAAACCAAGCAGCTACTCCACGGGAGAAAGATATGGTGGTCTGCAGCTGTGAAGGTGTAGCACCTTGGAAACCCTGTGAGGCAGTTCTACTCTGTCCTATGGGGTCACTGTAAGTCGGAAGAGACTTGATTCTGCCGCTGGGTTCCTGAAACTGGGCAGACAGTCACATACAAATGGAGTAACTGGGAAGTCCTGCCCTGAGGGCTGTACTTGGGAGTCACCGATAAAATGGATGTGGAGGAAAAGGGGTTGAAATTCGGGCCTCCCAGGAGTGGACTGGAAGGCGGCATAGTGACTCTTAAGTGTTTTTATATCATAAAAACACGGCAAAGAATACAAACACATGTTCTCGTTGAAAAGGAGAACTTTCAAACAGGGAGGTATCCAGGTGGCCTTCATTCTCATCTGCTGGCTTCACCAAAGTCTTTATTTCCCAAAGCCCTTTTTTTCTTTCTGTGCATTTACAAAACACGTCCACCTCCCCTACATTTCTCTTCACAAAGCGATCTTGACTTGTAGAAGTTTCAAGAGTGTGTTTTTGCAAGGCTCTCCGGCCCAGTACTAGAGAGTGACTGGAACTGAGCCTAGGGGAGGGGAATACATGTCAATTCGCGTCTCTCCTCTCCCCAGGCCCCCGCGGGTGCTCTCAGCATCCGACCCCGGCTCCCTGCGGGTGCCCTATTATGGGCGAAATCCCGGGTGCCAGCGGGCGGCTGTCCCGCGGGAAGGGGCGTGCGCGGGGCGGGGCCGGAACGTGTTTCGCCGGGGCCGAGCCCCCGGCGGGCACAGTTGCCCGCCGCACCGACCATGGCTGCAGCCGCACTGGGGCAGGTGGGTTCGGGACCCCGCGCCGTGGGGGCTGCGGAACACCGAGGGGAGGCGCACTTCCGGGAAGGACCACTGGGGCGCGGCCGGTCCGGCTTGGCTCCGCTCCTCCGGTGCTCCGGTTCCGCTGCGGGGCGCGGAAGAGGCGGGGGTCGCTCGGGAAGAAGCAAGAGCCTCTTTAATGGGGTGACCGAGCAGACTAGGATGGGGTAAGACAGGTGATTGGTGGGGAGGGAACTCCAAAATGGACACATGGGTAAACATGGAGGAGGGGACACTGAACTTGGGTGTGTGTGTGTGTGTGAGAGAGACTGTGATGTGGGAATGATAAAGGGGGAGGATTAAAGAGGGACCCGCCAGCTTCTCGGGGCGACGGTCCACAATTTCTAGGGTTGACTGTAGGTTGAGGGTGCAGAGCTCAACCTCAAGTCTGGCCTGGGAAGTGGGCCCAGGGCCCTATTTCTTTGGCACTAAATGTTAAGTTAGATGTGGAACGTGGCGCCCTGAACCCTCCTTGTTTGAAGCTCTGCAAATGAGTTGGGAATCAACGTGCTTCTCTAAGTGACGTAGATCTTCGAGGTAAGAGCTAGACGTTGCATCCATGCGCAGATGGCACCCAAAAGCCCGCAGAGTCTGTGACTGTAGAGAACAAGTTTTCTCAGGGACAAAGGAAACAGTAAAAACTCTGAGAAGGGGTGGGGTGGGGTTTGTGATGTCTGACAGCTACCTAACCTTGGGAGAAGTCAGCTTTCCTGCGCCTCTGCCCTTGGAGCCCTGTGTCCGGGCTGTCCTGCCTTGTCTGACGAATGTTGTTTATGTTGTTGGGTGTTGTCGATTCCTACTCATAGCGACCCCATGGGACACAGCTGCCCCACAGAGATTCCTAAACGTTAATCTTTACGGGAGCAGATCACCCATCTTTCTCTGGTGGTGCTAGTTGCTGGGTGGGTTTGAACTGCCAGCCTTTTGCTTAGCAGCCACCTTGTCTGATGAATAGCAGAGCAGTGCATTCTCAGACTGAACTAATTTTTAGTTTCTCAGGATCCTGGTGAGTGGCTCTGGTGGCATAGTGCATAAGACATTTGACTGCTAACTAGAAGGCTGGCGGTTCAAACCCACCCACCAGCCACTCCTCGGAAGGAAGGTTGGGCAATTTACTTCCATAGTGATACCGCCTCGGAAACCCAAGGAGGGGTCGCTAGGAGTTGGATCCAACTCGACGGCAGTGAGTTTGTCTGTAACTGTGACAGAGTCTTGAGCTATGACCGGGACAATCTGGGTATTGATGGTGACACTCCTGGGCAGTGGGAGAGGCTGGACATGGGCCTTGACAGGTACAGTTTGGGGTTGTCATGGTGCAGTTCTGGGTGTAATGTGACAGTCCTGGGGTCTGATGAGTTTCAGGCATAAGGAGGAGAGGCTAGGGCTGTGGTTGGAAGACATCTGAGCTGAGATAGGATGGGCACACTCTTGGATTATAATCTGGGGACAGTTCTTGAGTGTGAAGAGGATAGAGCTGGTCCATGGTGGGGACAGTCTTGCAGGGACTGGGTTGAACAGTGACGTGGAGCATTGTTCTGGGACGGTGAAGAGCATTCTTGGCCATCAACAGGACGGTGCTGAGCTCTGATGGCCCCATCCTACGCTGTAATGTGGTGACAGCCCTGGGGTCTGCAGGACACAGTCTTGGGCTTTGTACTGGGCTGTGGTGTGGGAAGGGCATGGGTTTTGGTGGGAGGGGACAGCCCTGAGCTGTGCTGGTCTCCCTGGCTGTGGTGGGACCAGCCTTTGGTAGTGGTGGAGAGTCCTGGGTCATGACAAGGGAGGACAGTTTTGACACGAGAAGGCTGGGATGGGAGCAGTTCTCTGAGACAGTGATAGCACTGTGTTCTCATGGGAACTGTCCTGGGCTGGGACGTGGGGACAGTCCTGGGGTGTGAAGGGGACATTGGCAGGACCAGTCGGGGGCTTCAGTGATGACCTCCTGTGTGGAGGACAGCCCCAGCTTGAGCTGGGAGTCCCACTCCTGGGCTGACCTGGGACACCGTGGGGACTTCATCACATTGCAGAGACCTGCTTGGATAGCCCTGTTCCCTTCAGCCCTCTTCATTTCTTAACTCAGTCCCAGGGAAACCAGGTGGCCCAGCAGTGAAGGGCCTGGCTGCGAATGGGAAGGTTGGCAGTTCAAATCTACCCAGTGGCTCCATGAGGGAAAGACCTGCTGATTGCTCCTGTAAAGATCACAGCCGAGAAAACCCAATGGGGCGGTTCTCCTGGCTTCAAATTGCCTTGATGGTACCCAGCCACAGCTACAGTTCCGTCCCAGTTCTCCCCCACCCTTTGTCCCAATAGCCCAGATGTGGGGTCGGGGGTGTTGGACAATCTGGGTCACCTTTGGGCCCAATTCCCACTTTGAGGCATGCGGAAGGCTGCCTTGGTGGCATAGATGGGTAAGTACTTGACTGCTAACTGGAAGGTTGGCAGTTTGAGTCAACCCAGAGGGGCCGCGGAAGACAGGTCTGTCAGTACTTCCGAAAGGTCACAGCCTTGAAACCCCCACGGAGCAGTTTTCCTCTGACACATGGGTCGCCGTGAGTCAGGCTGGACTCAACAGCAATGGGTTTGGGTTTGGGGGCTCCAAGATGGTGGGGAACCTATTCTAGAGTCATTTTCTTGTAGGAGTGCCTGAATAATTTCTCTGAGAAAGATCAGCCCAAGGCCATTCCCTATGAGGTGGCGGTTCAAGATGTCCCAAATGTCCTAACTTTTCCAAACTGCCATCTCACCCCTCCATCTCTGACATCCACTCCTCCTCCTCCCCTTCATATTCCCCCTTCAGTCTTGGGGTTCTGCATTTCACCGTAACGTCTCACAGAACTTACAAACTCCTGAGGAGATGGCTCACGTGGTGGTGGAGGCTGGGAGGCTGTCAAGCCCCAAGTCCGTGGGTCGGTCCGGAGGATTCTTCTCACTCCTGGGGTCGCAGGAGGTGGTGAAGCCAAATCAGCAGGTCAGATGACAGCTGCTGTCTCCAGTCCCGGGGTGAGATGATGAGGAGAGAGGCACAGGAAAGCAGCAAGTGACTGAACTTCTCCAGTGCATTCACACATACTCCCTCAGGGGAGCTAAAGGTGGTGACTTGAGTCACACCCTCCAGCAAGATGGGACTCAAGATACCTTCCACCCTCCACAGGCAAAAACCCAAACCAAACTCACTGCCGCGGAGTCGACCCGACTCA